AGATCTAGAACACAAGCAACCATCACGGCACCTGTCATGTGGTCAAGGCCTCTCTCCCCTCCAAGAGCAAGTGTAAGTGTGCCAGCACTGCAGTAGAAACCGTGTGCCAGAGCCTGGACACAGCAAACAGTGGCCCAACCTTTGAAGATGAAATCAGAGATTCGGACAAACTTTCGAAGGATGATGCAGAGAAAGACGTTTTCGGTGCTCTCAGCAAGAACTGTCACCTTAGTCATCATCATAGTGTGCGGGAGGATGTGAGAACAGTTGCAATGTCAAATCATCAGCAGCAAGAGACAAACATTAATGCAAAGTCAGTACTGTAAAAAGAAATGCAGTGAAAACTTATAAACAGCTTAACTGTAAGCTACTACAGTATGTAAAAATGTATATTATATTTAATAGGTTAATGCATTTAGTTTTATTTGGAAGTTAAAAGTGTAAATTCACTTGTAATTTAGGGTGCAAATCTATGTTATAGACTTACTATATGTACTTTTACAGTAAAATTATCTTTATTTTACAATAGAGGACATTCTGAACTAAATTAAATCTCCCAACTTGTGAAGGGAAATGTCATGTGATTCGTTTTTGTAAAACAGTAATACTTTCTTGTTTGTTTCACCATAATATCCCCACAATGCAATGAAATTGTAAAGCTATTGATTTAAATAATTTTATTCATTAATAAAGAGTTCAACCAACCAGCTCTGAAATAAATAAATTAAAGCATTCTGAATTGGATTTTTCATTTACTGTCCTTATACCTGCAGTCATTAGGTCCTATCATTATATCATATCATTCTATAACATTTGAACAAGTTTTCCAGCCAATAGTTTCCATTATTGTTAGTTTATAAAATATATTTTTTATTCAAAATGTAAGTTAGAAATTGACTTAAAGATATACATTATTATTTCAATTAGGCCTATATCGGACATCTTTGTGCCACCTGTACTATTGTGGTGGTTATTAGTGCATTTTAAGTTATTAATTTTGGTAGCCTAGTTGAAGTAGATTGGTATACAGTATTAACATTATATCACTTAATGAAATATACAGTTATAAGTTGTGAGATAATACCATAATACCAGAAAATTTTTGGTGAATTTCTGGCCATAGCAGTTTTTACCGTAAAAAATATTATATAAGAATATTCTTTACAGTGCACACAATTTTGAGTAGAGAGTCATTTAAATGGACACACAATTCAGAGAATATACATTTAATTCATTCATAGTGGAATACATTGCCGATGGTCCATCTGGAAGCCTCCAAGATGCAGTCTTTCTTGACTTTGTACTGCTCTGTGAGGTATTTTCCATTAAATCATCACAAAGGAGAAAAGCATCAGCCATTCGCTATAATAACTTTAATTACCAAACCACAAAGCAGTGGCCAAAACTGTGTCATATCATTATGTTTCCACTGAGTCATAGCACTGAATGGTGATTTTTAAAAAAGTGGAGGTGAAAAGTTAAAAAAAAAAACGTAAAAACAAACCCATTTTGTTGTGGAACAAGTGTATGTTACAAAGACATCATAATTCATAAATAACGTACAGCCAATGCCCAGTGCATGATCCGCTGTTTTGTCCATTTTTTTCAGTGCTGCATGGACTGCAAAACCACACTAAAAGAGTAGCGCTGAAAGAGTAGACCTTAAAGCAGGGCTCTTCAAATCTGGTCCTGAAGGGTCACTGCACTGTAGAGTTTAGCTCACACACACCTGATCAAGCTAATCGACGTCTTCAAGATCACTAGAAAATCACAGGTAGGTAAGTTTGATCAGGGTTGGAGCTAAACTCTGCAGGTCAGTGGCCCTCCAGGACCATATTTGAAGAGCCCAGCTTCCCAGCTGACTATGGTTGCCAAGTCCATGGTGACCCTGCAAAACTGGGCTACTTTTACACTTGCTGTGGGCTGATTTTTTCCTAAGGTTTAAGGTTTGACATATACATAAATTATATATTATTTATATTATAAAACCTTAGCTGAGACAAAGCAAAAAGATTTTTGTAAGGAAGGGGCATGCATTTTAACCAAGCGGCAACCTCCCGCTCTCTCTTGTGAAGCCAACAAGGAGGTGACCTCAGGGGCGTAATTTCCACTGGGGACAGGGGAGACATGGCCCCCCCACTTTCAAAATCACGTTTGTGTCCCCCCCACTTTCAAAATCGTTTGTTATGATTTTTTTAACCGCACGTCGTCATCGCCACGGAGGAGCAGAACCGAGCAGGGCACAGACGCGCGCGTCCACGTCCAGGAACGTCACGTGCACACTCTAAAAATAGCTCACTGAAGGTTCTAATGAGCGGGTATCGCGGTTGCGGCAGTCAGCGATGAAACGGCAGAAGCAGCAACAGATGACTTTAATGTCATCATGGATGAAAAGAACGAAAGAAAGAAAGGAGATGTGAGTTGGTTGATTCGGTAAATTAGCTCAGGTTTAGGATAATCATATTTTCTGTCTACACCTGTTAATGTTAGCCTACGTTGACTGAGCTAACGTTAACATACACTGTTGCTAGGTAACAGACTGTTGTTAGCTAAATATTTAATGTAGAACAGTGGTTCCCAAACTTGGGTACGCGAACAAAATGCTGAGTTTTGCGGTGTTTCGTAAACGAATCGTTCGCGAAAGTCATTGATTCAATGATTCATTTATAAATACAGCCACTTGCTTAGTTACTGAATGAACAAATGACTCGATGACTCACGCATTAAGACTACTGGCGGTTGTAGTGTTTAAAATAATCACTTTTCACTTTTTTTTATCATCATCATTGCATATTAATCTATTGAACTTTTTTTTTTTTTTAAACATTAATATTCTATTTATAAAGATAAAAAATGCATTGGAAAGTCAATTTAGGGGGCAAATATTGTCCTTTGATGGAAAAAGTGCAGTCTAATTAATTAATAAGTGGAAGAGAGGAAATGCCTCAGGGGGTACTCCACTCTAAAAAGTCTGGGAACCACTGATGTAGAACATTCTGTCCTGTGCAACAAGTGATTTATTTTATATTTTCAGGTACAGCGGTTAGTTTGAAATAAAAGTTTGTTTAACAGTGGATATTGAGTCTCACATTATTTAAACATTATTCAAAACATTAATGGTGAACATTTTCGACTTTATAAAATGATTCTCTCAAGTATTGGCGATCAGCCCCTATTAAACAATAAAGAAAGTAAGACATCTTTTTCTTATACATAGTTTAGTAGCCTACTATTCTTTTTGGCAGAATTGATCATTAATCAACTTAATTATTTCCTGGATTTTGTATCACCATAGTCCCTAAATGTATGTACATGGGATTCAAATCGAAAACATTTTCCCCCATTTTGTGTCCCCCCCACTTCTCAAGCCAAAGTTACACCCTTGAGTGACCTAAACTGTAATTCATCAACTGGCCGCTAGAGGCTGGCTGCAAAAGGGAGTGAATCCCATAGACTCCCCATGTTAAAATGCCCAACGTTACAGCAGAAAAAAACGTTTACAGCCTGGTTCAAAAAATGATTTTGGTCTATATAACTAATTTTGCCCTTCATGACAACTGTGAGGGGGGTGAATTTTTTTATAACTCATCCGATTAAATTATATTAAGCCTTAAAGTTCTGCATAATTAAGGGCGTGGCCACTTGAGTGACAGGTGGATTGCCGCTGCTGTCACCACCGTCGAGCTAGGTGGGCGTGGCTTCAGCATCCTGCTCCCGCCTCTTTGCTCATTTTCGATTATCCGGGAGTGACACGCTACCAAGATGGCGACGGCCGGCTCCGCCTACTTTAGGCTTCAAAAGCGCTCTTCGGAAATCTACGGGTGACGTCACTGACACTACGGCCATGTTTTTATACAGTCTATGGTTTTAACAGATCGGTGGATCTTTTCAGAATTGTTACTAGCAAATTTTTAAAGAAAGAATATGTCATCGGAAGCATTTCCACTTAACTGTGTCCAGCTTGCTGTACACGGTTCATTTTCAAATAATTTAAAAATAAAGGATAACCACACCCACCAAAGGTAAGTCATCGATTTTAAGGTAAGACGATTGTTTATGAAAACACTGTTTTGATTGTTTCGCAGATCTGGCAACCAGATCAATGAGAATACAGAGATTGTCAGGAACATTAAACATCATCACAAACAGGTAAACTCATCTACTCATTAGTCTGTTTTACAGCCAAATGCTCAGGATTTTAAACAAACGCTGAATGAATTGTCCTAGGAAGCTTGTTGTGCAACCGTGGTGTAGTTGTAATTTATAAAGGCTGTGTTAATTTGTGAAAATTATCATGATAAACAAAACAGCATACAATTTTGTTGTTCACAAAGCTTATTTTCTACAAGACTCCAAAAGCCAATGGAAAAATTTAATTGGCTTTTTGTCAGGAGAACCAGGGTGATGTTAACTTCTGGGTTGGCCTACAAAAACACATCATCACTGCAGCACACTAAGGGGCAAACATGAATTGTGACCCTGGACCACAAAACCAGTCATAAGTAGCACTATTTGTAGCAATAGCTAACAATACATTGTATTGGTCAAAATGATCGATTTTTCTTTTATGTCAAAAATCATTAGGATATAAAGTAAAGATCATTTCGTAAATGATTTCCTACCGTAAATATATCAAAACTTAATTTTAATTTTTTTGCACCCTCAGATTCCAGATTTTTAAACGGTTGTATCTCAGCCAAATATTGTCCTATCCTAACAAACCATACATCAATGGAAAGCTTATTTATTCAGGAATAGTATTACATTACTATGATTTGTTTATACAGCACAAATGGTTTGAAAATTAGATCTGAAATTATCTAATTTTCCTTCTCACAAAAAGCATTGCTGAAAATGACCGGAATCGGATCGCAGCCGTGAAGCAAACGGTCGAACCCTGAAATTCGTTATATTCACTACAATTCACACTCTATTTATAATCCACCAAAGCAGAAGATAACCCACAGTAGGAGAATGTATCTGTGGGTGGCATATTGCCAATTCATCCTCACACTCAGCTGTGAGTGTGCGGTAATGTAATGAGATGAAGCTGGCGCGGAGGGATACAGCGTAAATGAGGCCAGAGCGCAGCGGCGGCGCATTACTACACCTCAGTCTGTGGCTCACTCACACAGATTACACACACAGGAACAGATCCTGCGTCTACACGTCAACGTTTAAAACACAAACAGCTTTCTGCTGCTGATTTTACACACATTTATCGGACAGGCCTTTTTAAGGATGGTAAGTACAGCCTGATGTTTATGTTGTTGTTTTTTCTTAGCTAACGGTTTAGCCACTTTAGCATCCTGTCAGACAGTTTGACAGCTAATAATAATTGTACCAATTATTTAAGCTTTCTCTTTACCGTTTGTGATGTCGAACGCATAAAGATTGCGTAAGGTTTAGTAAAAGTGAAAATGCGTAGCAGCACATCGATGTTTTATTTAAACAAACTGCTAATTATCCAGTTAGCGCTATCCAGCAGATGCACATCAACATGTGTTATGTATATTAAAGGAAAATAATGTACGATTCAATATGAATTAATCCAAGAGATTTTAGAAACGGATAAATTAGGCTAGTTACGTTGCAGTTTAACGCGCTCCCGCTATTGCTCTCGCGCCAGCTGAAGTCTCAATCACGCGCACCAGTTTCTGTATTAGGTTTCTTGAATATTCTTTAATGCAAACTAGCCGTTTTTGGTCACAGTAGACCCTAGTGGTTGCAAATGCATGCTTTGCATTGCATTGCAAATATGCATGATGTAAATTCACAGCGCTGACAGCTTTTGAGTGCCTCTCGGATGCATATTTCTATTGCAAGTTAAGTATGCAACGCATCATGCGTGATGCCTTAACGCAGTGTTTCTGCTTATCAGTGTGTGAACAGTGACTGGCTGCTAATTTTACATGGGCTGAGCTCATTGCCTTTAACAGAAGGATAAGTGTGGGCGTGGTGGTGTAAAAATAACCATCAGCAAAGCATATGCGCTCAAGTTCCTCATTTCTGGAAGAATCTGTCGCTTAGCTTGCTTTGCCTCCATGCATTTGCTTTGCATGCACGTTCACAAAGTTTGCAAACGTCCTGCGGATATGAGACTGTCTCTCTGTTGCATTTGCATGGGCCAAAGTTACAACATGTAGGGTAGCTGTTGCGCGCCGGTTGTTTAAAAAAAAAATGCGATTCAACATCACGCAGCTCCAAGATGATCATATAGCTGTATAAGGCATAAATATGAATGGAGTGGACACTGAGGTTGCATATTGCAGCATGCTGAACTGCAGTGACGGATCCCGGTTGTCCCCCTCCCCCTTTCCCCCTGCATTGAACCAAATCATAGCTGGTGCAGCAACACGCTGACACTGGATCTGCAGTGCAGACGCCCGCACGCGCTCATCAAATTGGACTGCAACTTGGAGAGGACAAACATTTGTCCGCGCATGCTCCACACTTAATCCACACTAATTGCTGCAGTCATTGAAATGCGGTAACGGGCTTGAGAAGCAGCGCGCAGAATATGTTAGCCGAAAGCAATGGAGACCGCAGCCCACCTGCATCCAAACCAAGCATTTAACCATCCGTGTGCAGCTGGTCTTGGAGGGCATGTGTGCACCTGATGTCTGATACCGTCTGAATGGAGGGCCGCCATTGCATTGCACTACTAGCCTAAAGTTTGAGTAATAGATTTCTTCTGTTTCTAGGAGTAGCATTGTTTGTGATACTCAGAGTCAGTCAAGATTCTTTTTCAGTAAGATTAAGTAATAGAGATAACAAAAGTCACATTTATGCAAACGAGCAGTGATATGATCAAGAAAAGTGTAGTTTTTTTTTTAGATTCAGTTTAATAAAATGTCAATTGGTATAACCAAACAATGTTATTTTAACATTTTCTTTTAACATTTTCTTTAAACTTTGAATGCGAGTCTACACGAAATGTTCAAAAAGTTAAAAATATGCGACCATTCAAAAGTTTGGGATTTGAGTTATTTGAGAAATATACTAAATGCTGTTCTTTAGAATATCAAAGAGTCCAGGGAAAGAAAATAAATAATGGTTTCCACAAAAATATTATGCAGCACAGCTGTTTTCAACATTGATAATAAGAAATGTTTCTAGAGCAGCAAATCAGCATATTAGAATGATCTCTAAAGGATCATGTGACACTGAAGACTGGAGTAATGATGTTGAAAATTCAGCTTTGCGTCACAGGAATAAATGACATTTTAAAATATATTCAAAAAGAAAACAGTTATTTTAAATTCTGGTAAAAAAAAAAAAGGATTGTATTTTTGATCAAATAAATGATGCCTTGTTGAGCATAAGATACTTCTTTCAAAACATAAAATCTTACTGACCCCAAACCATTGAATGGCAGTGATTTTTTTTTTCAAGGTATAACTTTTTTTTTAAATTCAGAAATTATCAATAAATATGAATTCATAGATTGGCCTATAATTTTTATAAGTCTGACATGTAGTTGTTTTCAAAATCGCCTCCATACCCTCATTTGCTATTTCCATTAGTTCACTGATATAATGAATGAAAATGAGTAAGCAAATTTGGACACTGAGTGTACCAGAAGGGCTGCCACTTTTACATTGTGCTTTTTGTGCCACCTCCAGTAGTAATAAAGATTGATCTTGAATTCTGTCATGGAAACTAGCATGAATAAACCTCCATTAAACTATTTAATAATCAATTAAAAATACATTTATACCTGTATGATTTTCCGCTATACCCAAATTGGACAAACGTTTTGGAAAATAGATGGATGGATGATTCCGCTGCAGTCGCCATCTTCTGGCCAAGCGCGGGAATTCATTCGGCACGAGCCTCACACTGCATTATAGGTATATGGGGTGATTTCAGACACAGCCCATGACATTTTATGGCCTGCCTTAATCTTGCCTTGTTTTATAAGACCAAATTATCTGATATTTTAAGATACACATTGACTTTGACACACAGTCACGAGGGTCTGCAGGGGCCTTCTCTATAATATAATTTTTTTTTTCTGCATGTTGTTTGAACCATGACTTTGTTGGTCGCACCACATGACTTTATTTTAGACAAGTTTTTAAAATGTTAATATGCAATAGAATCTGTCAAGCTGTATTGATTGTTTAAAAACTTTTCATTAAGAAATAATAATAAAACCTCGTTTTTCTTTGCAAGAATTAAATTTTATTTAAAAAGGCTTTTTTTGTTGATACAGCTGTCCAGATATTGTAATCATGCCATTTTTCATGCCCCCCCAAAAAAAATATCACAATGATTTTTAATAATTTTAAATATGCTCATCATAGAAGAGCTATGCAAGTAATTATTATTTGCATTGATTGACCCATGTTGTAAAATAGGCAGCACAGTTTCCTGTTGCGATTTTACAGTACAAAATTTATTATGCGCAGGTGTGTATCTTGTGCTTTGCTGTGCCCTCCTGTTATTGAGAACTATTTATATCAGTCGTTTTCTCATCTCACAAATGGCGAGCCAAATGTGTTAAAGCTAAAGTCATTGCCTCGTATGTGGATGAGTCAGATCCATGTCCGCTGTTTCCTCATGGATCATTTTACACCCTGTCCATTTTAAGCTCCAAGCTTTATGAATCACCCGCCTTTGAATACAAGGGAGAGTGTTCTGATGCCTCCTCTCAGAAAAGACACAGCTGAATCATGCAGAGTGAATCACGTGTACAGATGAATCCTCTCCTCTTTAATAATTGAATAATGAACTCTGTGTCAGAGAGAAGCGCAATCATTTTAAGTGTGTCGCATTCATGACCCCCTAAGTGGCACTGTCTAATTATAACTGCCGTGGATATTTTTGAAGGAGTATTTTTATGCATGTCCTTCATTATACTCATTTAGTCAGAGGTGTGTGTGTGTGAGAGCACTGCAAAACTGGAGCTTTTCTGATAGTGATGTGGCACTGAGCTGATTGACTTCCTCTTTCCCTCTCTCTTTTTTCCAATACAGGCAGATCAGCTGACCGAGGAACAGATCGCTGGTGAGTGAACTCTGACCAAACCCCATTCCTCAGCCATACCTGTCACACACCCAGTTTAAGAGCAGTGTTTTTCTTCTTGTAATCAGGAGCGCTTGTCCTCCTAATTAAAAAAATTAAGAAGCACCTTCTGATCAATAATCAAAAATTCTGATATTTAAATAACTGAAATTATACCTAAAAATGAAACTGAAACCACCAGCAGGTGGCGGCAAGTCACTGATTTTATCACTGAATCATTCATTCAATTGATTCGTTTGAACGGCTGATTCATTCAGGGATGAAGCAAGTGACTGTCTTTATGAATGGGTAATCATGAATCACTGACTCACTAGATTCGTTCAAAAACGCACTTTCAAATGCCGCTGTGTTTGCTTTTAGAGATGCACAGCGGCCGAGCTGTTACTTTATTTGGAACTAGTTTCGTTGATGAAACAGAGCAAAATCAGGCAGTAGCCTACTTGTTTATTGAACTGTTGTATTAAATCAATATCACATTTGCGAACTCCTTTAATAATTATTAAAAGCTGTCACTCTCCTTATCCGTGATCTGTGGGCGCACATAAAATGAAAGTGCACGAGTGAGTTCTCAAGACTCAAAAGCACGTGCAAATGATACATTCTGTCATCTGTCATCGCGTTATAAACGAGGAACCTGCGGGAATGAGTAGAATTATTATTAATAGCCACAATCCCGCGCCGAAATTCAAGACCTGCTCTGTGTTCTCTGCTAATAACCCGACTGTGAATGATGCGCGCGGCGTCA